CTCCCGGACCGCGAGATCGTGACCTGGCTGAAGTCGGACGCTTAACCGACTGCGCCACCCAGGTGCCCCACTAACAAAATTTTCAAAAGCCCAGTGAATCTGCCTGTACAGAGGTCTGATAGACTAGTTGATAAATTCTGAATATACGTATTTGCTTGATAACATTATAGTATTCCTGAAGGCCTGATACTCTGATGGCTACACTACAAGTGGTCATGTTTACAATCAGTGTTGACTGAGCTCCTTAGAACCCAGAAAGTTGGGGCTCCTGAAATCAGGCTTAACTTCACACCTTTCCAGGCTACGGAGATTATATGGAATGGTAACTGTGACAACACTTTGAAAAAATAAGAAGCTCCTTGTAAATGTTTGATATTGTGATTTTTATTGAAAATATTTGTTTTTTAGGGGACAGTATTTATTCAAAAACAAACCTCCTGATGGGAACGCTCCTCCCAACTCCTTTTATAGAGCACTTTATCCTAAAATTATACAAGACATTGAGGTAAGAATCTATTTATATTTGGATATTTGCCAAATACTAGAGAATCATCAGCATTCTTCAATAACAGAATTGTTACAGCAAACCCATTAAGGTTTATTAATGTGGGTTAAAAATCAATTTCTTTTAAGTAAATAGGGTAGGTAAAATATAGTAAATTGCCAGGCAAAATTTTTAAAGCTTTTAAAGATTGTTTACTGGTAGATAAGTAGATGAGAGAGAGAAAATGATATCTTCATGCAATAGCACTGAGACTGTTATGATACTCCAATATCTTACGAATTGAGCCTTCCTGGAAGTTCACTGGTAGAAATGGCCACCACATAGGTATGGGGAGCACTGAGCATGTAACCTCATGAAGTGCACAGCTTGCCCTCTGTTGCCCCTTTTCCACCAGGTTTATCATTTAATTGAATGAGTTATATGCAGGAGAGTTCTAGAAAGTAAATCTTTAATAACTTTACAAATGAAAAAATGTTATACAAATTTAAACAGTGGTTTTTTTAAAACATATTTTGAGTTTGCCTTAAGTTCTGTATAGTTAATAGAGGGAAGCACTGAGCATTTGTCATTGGTTGCCATGAAAGTCAGATAAGGATTTAGTGCTGGTCCTTTCCTAATTACTTTTTATTATTCCTTCTCCCAGACAATAGAATCTAACTGGAGATGTGGAAGACATAGTTTACAGAGAATCCACTGCCGAAGTGAAACAAGCAAAGGAGTTTACTGTTTACAGTATGATGATCAGAAGATAGTAAGCGGCCTTCGAGACAACACAATCAAGGTGAGGTCTGTTCAATAATGGGAAGATGGCTGAAGGAGAAGGGTGTCCACATTAATAAAGCAGTCCCAGCATCATCTCTAAGTATTATTTCCAGAAGGTAAATGAGAGTTTTAGGTTGTTTCCCATCCTGAAGCCAGAATCATTTCCTTAAAGGACAGTTACTTGCTTTCTGCCAGAAGCATGTACAAATGGATAGTCCTAGGGTTAAATTCTCTCCTTACAGTGTGCTGAATGTGCTATTACTCCTTTAGGCTTCACATAATTATAGGTTACCTCTGTTCCTTAATGAAAAGGATAAAGTCTGCATTAGTATTGAAGCCACCTATATGTGTGTGTGTGTGTGTGTGTACACACACACACACACACACACACACACACACACACATACATATATATAGGTGCTTAGCTATACCTATAGAAAAGAATGCATTCCACATTACTCTGGGCTTTGATTCTTTAGAGGAATCAAACACATAGTAGAGCCAACAAGTCTCAGCACCACTCCATTATCACAGTGATCAAAAAGATCTTGTTTGCCATCCTAGATCTGGGATAAAAGCACGCTGGAATGCAAGCGAATTCTCACAGGCCATACGGGTTCTGTCCTGTGTCTCCAGTATGATGAGAGGGTGATCATAACTGGATCATCGGATTCCACAGTCAGGTAGAGAATTCCAAATGATCTTTTGAACTCTGGAATATCAGATCTGCTCTGTTCTTTGTCATAGATAGTAGTTTTGCTGTATGTAGCTGCATGAACGCAGTTCTGAAACTTCATAACTAAAGAAGAATAAGCCATCAGCTCTCCACATCATTGTGTCCACCTAGAAGTAGAAAACTTGATTTAGGAACGATTAAGGCAAGTTTACATTTTTGCACATTGAAGAAACTACATATTCTGTTTTAATTTGGGAAAATCATCAATTATAAAAACTTGGTAAACCTTGTGCATGCCTTACAAAAACCACCTCGCAGGGGAATGATGTGAATGGAATTAAGCCTCCTTTCAGGTGGTTATAACTGTGGTACAGACATGCATTACCTCCTTTAAAATGTGTACAGGTGAGCAATGCTCTCTCTTTGCCAGCCCCTCCCCTGCTGTCCCTGCAGTTTTTAATTGCAAGCTTTACTCAGGGAGGGGCCTTCAATTTCCAGAGGCGTTAGTGATTTGATGACACAGCCATTATGCTGCTGGAGTCCAGTGTAGCTTGAGTTCTGGGTACCAGCAGCACTGCTGGAAACCTCTGTTAGGAATTTTGCCTTAAGCTAAAGGATTTTCCAAACATAATGCATCAAAAGTAACTTTTAAAAAAAATAGGAAAAAAAAGCAGTTAACTGCATTGTTAGATCCTCTGAAGTTAAATGTTTACCAATCCAAATTATCCTCTGTGAATAAGAAAAGGCTGTTCCTCTTTCTTGTCTTTTGACTTAAAGGCATAGCAAACTCAGTTCTTATAGTTATCGACATTTAACATTTATTGATGCTCTGGAGTGCCTCAAGGAAGCTAAACATTGTAGAGGCTAACATCATTTACAGGATAAGGGACAAAATGATTTTCTAAAAGATGGGGTTAAATTGGAAAAGGAAATAAAATGTGTTATGAAAATCAAAGTAAATACACAAAAACAGAGTAATCAAAATATATCATCACACAAAATTCTCAAGATATCCAAAGGTCCCACACTCTGCTGTAAGCCCCCATTTACACTGTAGCTATTTTTTTCCCTTATTTTCTTTAATGTTTATTTTGTTAGAGAGCAAGTGAGCACGGGCATGAGCGAGCAGGGAGAGGGGCAGAAAGAGAGGTAGAGAATCCCAAGCAGGCTCCATGCTCATAGCACAGAGCTTGATCCCATAAACCTTGAGATCATGACCTGACCTAAAATCAAGAGTCAGACACTTAACCAGCTGAGGCACCCAGGCACCCCTGGGGTGGCTATTCTTGATCTCTACCCCCATTCAAGGCACAGAAATGGAACTTTAGACTTAAGAGTATAGGTCATCTTGGGCCTGGCCTGTATGGTAAAATTGAAGATCCAGGGTTATCAAGCTCAAATCCACAGTACTAAGTCAGACTCTTACAGAAGCTTCTTGGCCTGAATCAGTTCTATTTCCTGAGGGCTATCCGTGGGACACTAATGCTACTGTCATTAATCAGATTCCTACTTAAAAATGTATCTCATTAGGGGCGCCTGGGTGGTTCAGTCAGTTAAGCGGTTAAGCATCTGACTTCAGCTCAGGTCATGATCTCACGGTTCCTGAGTTCAAGCCCTGCATCAGGCTCTCTGCTGTCAGCACAGGGCCCGCTACAGATCCTGTCTCCCTCTCTGTCTCTGCCCCTCCCATGTTCATGCGTACTCTGTCTCTCTCCCTCTCTCTCTCTTTCAAAAATAAACATTAAAAAAAATGTATCTCATTAAAGGCATCAGATTGAATGTCAGAAGTTTTGTAATAATCTTGAAGTCTAGGCCCAATTAGTAGGTGACAGTGGTTGTATCCTCATTCTTACCCTTCTCCCATATAACTCGCCCATATTTCAAATAGTGTGTCTTAAGGATTTCACATTGGCAGCATCCTGTCCCTCTCCTTGTCCTACTCTCCTAGTCCAGCCCTCTATCTATCACTTCCCTGTGGTCCATCAGAACTCTTTACCTCAGCTCAGTCCCAAAGCTACAAGAGGGTAGAGTATAACACTAATTATGAAAATGAGGCAAGATGAGTGGGGAATGTGGTAGTCAAATAGATCATAGCCAGGAATATCATCGAAGCCTCAGATAAGCTTCTTAATGTTGTTTGTTCCAGGGTATGGGATGTAAATACAGGTGAAATGCTAAACACCTTGATTCACCATTGTGAAGCAGTTCTGCACTTACGTTTCAATAATGGCATGATGGTGACCTGTTCCAAAGACCGTTCCATTGCTGTATGGGATATGGCCTCCCCAACTGACATTACCCTCCGGAGGGTGCTAGTCGGACATAGAGCTGCTGTCAACGTTGTAGACTTTGATGACAAGTACATCGTTTCTGCGTCTGGAGATAGGACTATAAAGGTAATGAAGCATCTTTTGATAAGTCTCCAATTTAGAGTAAGGGTGTTCATATGAAAATCCAATCAAGGGAAATTTCATATTTAAATGTCCATATGGAGTAGTTTAATATTTAATTCAGATACTAGTCTGTTTGTAAGAAGGCGATGAATGAGACAAGCGGTGTGAAAATTTTGGTTAGGTATCTTAGTCCTATAGATAATGGTGAGTGTGAGAAGGCCAGGGGTAAACTCAGCTTCTAGAAAATTTGTCTGCAAGACCAGACTAATAACTCCATAAGAATAAATCAGTTGGAGGAATTCTCACGTTATAGCAGCCAGCTACAAATTAGCCCTGTGTTATTGAGAATTAAACTTGTCTTTTTTTTTTCTTTTCTTTTTTCGATTTGGTTTGGTTTGAGAAGTTGACTTCCCCCTATTGGCTCAGTACTCTTTTCTGCTTCCCCAAGACTCCAATTGCCCTAGATTTTACTAGTAAAAGCACCAAATCAACTGCCAAATACTATTTCTGTTTCAGGTATGGAACACAAGTACTTGTGAGTTTGTAAGGACCTTAAATGGACACAAACGTGGCATTGCCTGTTTGCAGTACAGAGATAGGCTGGTGGTGAGTGGCTCGTCTGACAACACTATCAGGTGAGCAGCAGGTGCCTTTACCCAGAAGGGATCACTATTACTCTGCCATTCATTGTTTGCACACGGATCAAACAAATCTTCAAGTGTGTTATGTTTATAATAAAGTGTTTTTCCTTTCTTGTTTTTTTTTTTAAAGATTTTTATTTGTAGAGGTTCCTGAGTGACTCTTGGTTAAGCATCTGACTTCAGCTCATGTCTTGATCTCCTGGTTTGTGAGTTCAAGCCCCACATTGGGCTCTGTACTGTGGTGGTGTGGAGCCTTCTTGAGATTCTCTCTCTCTCTCTCTCTCTCTCTCTCTCTCTCTCTCTCTCTCTCTCTCTCTCCCTCTCTCTCTCTGCCCCTTCCCCACCTGTACTGTCTCTCTCTCTGTCTCTCAAAATAAATAAACTTAAAAAATTTTTTTTTTATTTTTACCCCCAATGTGGGGCTCGAACTCACAGCCCAGAGATCAAGAGTCACACACTCTACCAACTGAGCCAGCCAGACACCCCAAATGTTTTTCCTTCTGTAGCTTCTTATAGGCCAAAAGTTTGCAAAAAAAAAAAAAAAAATTTTGTCCTAAGCAGAAAGATAGCATAGCAAAGCCTTTTATTGCTGTGTTTCCATTCTATAATAGTTTCATTACCAGATATACTTATTTTAAAGGTACTGCTTGAATGAGGAAGTGGACAAGAGTGATAAGTAAATGGAGGTTGAAGGCCCTCCTCTTTAAGCTCTTCCTGTGTACAGTTGCAAAGTCCTACTAAGTAGCAAGAGGCCTTTTTTTCACCAGTGTTCTAACAAAAAAAAGAAAAACTATTTTTTCCCTACTAGAAATTGTGCATTTTGTTTTCTTAGCATTACGTAATTATCCATAATTTGAAATTATGAAGAATCCACAGCTTAAAGTACTTTTTTGGTGTTTTCATCTTCACAAAGATGAATGACACAGATATGAATAGAATTTGGAAGATTTATGAATCCTTTTCCGTTCCTTCAAATAGTACTAAGAGAATGAAAAGGCTATTAAAAAAACAACGGATAGAGCTATTGTCACATCTAAGGAAATTGTCCTTTCATTTGCCTTGGTCTGGAAGCATATAATTTTATATGAAAGTTTTTGAGAACTTGCTTTTTGTTTCCATTATATGAGAAAGACTGTCCTGGACAGTGGGTAAAAGCAGAGAGTGTCCTTACTAACAGACGTGGACATGCTTTGTGAGAGCAGGATATCACTGATACCCTGCATCTCATTCTTAATAGTGATTTCAGGAAGCATTACTTCTCTTGGCTTGGTTTTGTCCTTCACAGGCAACTGGGGACATTGAATTCATCCTTTTTATGCCTTGGGGACCCTGGTTACAGAATTATATAAAGCATCGTGCTTTGAAAATATATATTTCATTTGAACTTAAATCATACATTCTTCTGCCTGAGTTATACAGCAGAAAGGAAATAAATTACATTGAAAAGAGTACATTTTTGTATGATTGTTGATTGATTTTATGTTTGTGGATTTTTTGAAGACATACAAAGTGTATTATTATAACATCCAAAGCTTTAGAAAAGAATACACGAAAGTTCACTCAATTTTCTCTTCCAGATTATGGGACATAGAATGTGGTGCGTGTTTACGAGTGTTGGAAGGCCATGAGGAACTGGTGCGCTGTATTCGATTTGATAACAAGAGGATAGTGAGTGGGGCCTATGATGGGTGAGTTTGCTAACAGGGTTTAAAAAAAAAAAAAATGTACATCTTGATCCCTCCTGCCTGAGGATGTTAAATATAGTCTTCCCTTGACTCTAAAAGATTATAAATTTCGGGGCGCCTGGGTGGCGCAGTCGGTTAAGCGTCCGACTTCAGCCAGGTCACGATCTCGCGGTCCGTGAGTTCGAGCCCCGCGTCGGGCTCTGGGCTGATGGCTCAGAGCCTGGAGCCTGTTTCCGATTCTGTCTCCCTCTCTCTCTGCCCCTCCCCCGTTCATGCTCTGTCTCTCTCTGTCCCAAAAATAAATAAACGTTGAAAAAAAAAAAATTAAAAAAAAAAAAATAAATAAATAAAAAATAAAAGATTATAAATTTCATGGAAGCGGTCTGATACGATATTTCTTGTGCCTAATCTATATATTCACCTTTGCTTTGTTTAAATAAACTTTTAAAAAGAAAAAGTATTTATTTTGAGAGAGAGAGCAGGGAGGGCAGAGAGAGAGTCCCAAGCAGGCTCTGTACTGTGAGCCTGGAGCCCAACACAGGGCTTGAACCCACAAACCATGAGATCATGACCTGAGCCAAAATCAAAAGTCAAGACACTTAAGCAGCTGAGCAACCCAGGCACCTCTCTTGTTTACTTTCTTTTCTATTATTTACTATTCTCCTCTTTTCTTTCCTTTTCTTTTCTTGTTTACTTTTCTAAAATGTTCTTCCCAGTCATTTAATTGTACTTGTTTGCTCCTGATTTTCATTAATATAAGTTATTTGGTTATACATTTGTCTGTTTTACTCTATAAAGCAATGAACTGGAAAAATCCCAGTATACCAGGATATGTGTATAAAATAGTGACTTATTAATAAAATTGAAATATTGGAGGCAGTATCTTTGGGGCACAATGTGGTAAGGTCCTGAATTTTTATCTTTTTGAGAAATTCTAAAAGTGCAGCTCTCTTGTCTTCACTTCTCCTAACATTTCAGTTACAACAAGTTTAGTAATCTTTATTTTCTTTGGTCTAATAGCAATGGTACTAGAATCCATTCATGTTGTGAGTGTGTACCATGTCCAGCAGTGGTAAGCACACAGTAAACTCTTAACGAAAGTATATTCACTTAAAAGGCCTCCTTATCATTTCTTCTTGTCAGGGTGCCTAACATGGGGGAGTGGAAGGCTACAGTTCAAATACTGGCAGCTTTTAAGTATCAGAAGCTGACTTACAGCTTGATCTTAGTTTATGAGCTGGCTTTACTGATTAAGACAACTCAAGCTGCAGGAAGCAGAGCTTCCTCTGCTTTGAGTCAGCCGTCACTGTTCTACCCTTGGGAAATTGTTCAGGGTGTGATGACACATTCCAGCTAGGTTATATTTTCTCATTGCCCCGGTTTTGATCTGTTCCCACCTTTCTTGGGTTTTATCTGTTGTTTACCGTGAGAAGGCATAACCATATGTTTGATTTGTAGAAGGGCTAAGCTTTTCTTACTTAAACTATGAGAATTTGCTTATATAAACTCCAGAGTTCAGGGGCGCCTGGGTGGCTCAGTGGGTTAAGCGTCCAACTTTGGCCCAGGTCATGATCTCACAGTTCGTGAGTTCAAGCCTCTCATCGGGCTCTGTGCTGATAGCTCGGAGCCTGGAGCCTGCTTCGGATTCTGTGTCTCCCTCTCTCTCTCTCTGCCCCTCCCTAGCTCACGCTTACTCTCTCTGTGTCAAAAATAAAAATAAACTTTAAAAAAAAAAATTTAAACTCCAGAGTTCTTCAGTGAGTTCCAGTCCTCTGGTACACGTGACCTGGGCCATTCTCAGAATTGTAGGTTTCTAGGCCTAAATAATCTGTTATATCATTAAGAGGTCTAGTATGTAAGATCTCTTCCTGGCCCCAAAATATGGTGTAAATTTACCATTCACTATCTTCAGCTTGGTTAAGGCTAACCTGTTCCTCATTTTTAGGTTAAATTTGTACTTTTTCCCCTGTTGAGACCAATAACCTTGACCCAAGAATGAATGCAAGGACCAAGTCTCCAAAAACAAAAAAGTTTTTGTATATTCTTGTGAACTGCATTTGTCATATAAATTACTTTCACCATACATATTTATTGTCGTGACTTTGTGCTATTCTTCCTGTGGTCCCTTAATTTTGCTTTTAATCAAGATTTTTATCCCATTTTTGATCTTTAGAAAAATTAAAGTGTGGGATCTTGTAGCTGCTTTGGACCCCCGTGCTCCTGCAGGGACGCTGTGTCTACGGACCCTTGTGGTAAGAGCCTTGAGGGGGCTGGGGAACAGGAAGGGGAAGGAATTAAACATTGATGTGCTGTGGAATACAGATCTGGATTTGATAGTTAGACGCTCACAAAACCTACTACTAAGTGGAAAGGCAACCAATACATGACAATAAAATATGTTTATATAGCGCCTTTCATCCAAAAGTGCTTTAGAGACTATATATGGAGAGGAACGTGGCAGCTGTTTAACAGCTGCACAGCAACTCTACACAACAGTTTAGTACAGGAAGTGAATAAGAATTCTGTATCCACCAGAAACAGTAGGGGGTACTTAGGGAGAGAGAACATAATTACTCAAATTGGAACCTGTCCAGAATCTGAGGACCTGCACACCTGTGCCTGCAAAAAGTGCCGTGGGAGCCTGTGTGAGCCCCCGGTCAGCCCCCTAGCTCTGCAGCCTGTTCAAGGCATGCCGCCTCCAGCAACATGAATCCTGTCTTTTTTATTCCTCATATACCCCCTTGCCGTGAACATCTTGACAGTTGAAGAAAGAAGTGACTCAAAAGGAGGAAAGTCACCTTTGAAAGTACTAAATTCTTTATCATGGTGTTCACCAAAGGCCCGGATGAGAAAATGGCCTAAGGTTAAAAGCAGCCGCCATTAGAAAAAGAAGATTAGGTGGGACACCAGGGAGCAGAGAATCTTTTGCACAACTCAGGAAAAAGATGAGAGCTAGCATTTGAAGCCAGTGTTCTGAATCGTGACTCTCAACATTTGGCAGTCTCTGCTCTGGAGAAGAGAGAGAGACATTTCTTTGTCTTAAGACTTTGTTGGATTTAAAGCTCTTTCTTGCAGCACCAGACCTACTTTGCCTGTGTTTCACACATGTTTTTAAAGTGTGCACTTTCATTCATTTGCAGCTAAACTAAGTCTGGTTTATTGTGAAGTATAATTTATACACAGCAAGTTTTACCCTTTTTTAGTGTATTTTTTCTGAATTTTGCGGTGGGTAAATACCTCAGTCAAGATCTAAACTATTTCTGTCGTCCCAAAAACGATGCCCCCTTCATATCAATCCCCTCTCCTCCACCCCTAGCAACTATTCTTCTGATTTCTTCCTAATAGTTTTGCTATCTTATGAATGTCATATCAAGTAAATCATATAGTATGTAGCTTTTGCATTTGGCTTTTTTCACTTCATTCTAGATTCATTCATGTTGTTGCATGTTTTAGTGCTTTTTTTTTTGTATTGCTGAGTAGTAGTCCATTGTGTGGATGAGCCAGTTTGTTTAATTGCTCACCAGTTTAAGGACATTTGGAATGCTTCCAGTTTGGGGTGATGCTGACAATATTCCCATACAGATTTTTGTGTATATATACTGTTTTCATTTCTCTTGGGTAAATACCCAGAGAGTAGGAGTGCAATTTCTGGGTCCTATGATAAGTGTGTGTTAAATTTACAAGAAACTACCAAGCTGTTTCCCAAAGTGCCATTTTGAGAATTCACAAATGCAAACCATTTTGTATTTCCATTGACTTAGTATGAGAGTCCCATTTTTCCACATCCTTGACCATACTCAGTATTGTCAGTTTTTTTAAGAATTATAGTAGTCTGAGTGGGTGTGTAGTGGTTGTAGTTTTAATTTGCATTTCTATGATAATTAATGGTGTAGAACATCTTCTTATTTGCTTATCTTCTTTTATGAAGCGTCTGTTCAAATCTTGTCCTCATTTATTTATTGAGTTGCCTTATTACGTTTTTAAAAACTGATTTATTGAGATGTAATCAACATACAATACAATGGACATATTTAAAGTGCACAACTTAATAAACTTTGACATAGGTACATACCAGTGAGACCATCCACTTCTGCCAAGATTGTGAACATATCTTCGTGCCCCCTCTGTAATCTCTTCTTCCCATCCCACCCCACTTCCTGCTATTCTAGTCCCCAGGCAGCCACTGATCTGCTTTCTGTCAGTATTGATTTGTGTGCATTTTCTAACTTTTATAAATGAAATCACACAGTATGTATTCTTTTTTGTCTGTTTTCATTAAGCCTAATTATATGTCATTGATTTGTGTCAATAGTTACATTTCTTTTTAAAAATTGCTGAGTAGTACTCCATTGCATGGTTATACCATAATTTCTTTATCCTTTTGCTGGATGATGAAAATGTGGGTTGTTTCCAGTTTGGGGCTATCATAAATAAAGTTTCTATAAACATTTATGTACAATAAAATGAACATATGCTTTGGTTTCTCTAAGGCAACTCATAGGAGCAGAATAGTTAAGTCATATGTCTCATATTTTTAGAAACTGCCAAACTGTTCTCCACAGCAGTTGTATCATGCAGTGGTGCATGAGAGTTCCAGTGACTCCACATCCTCACTAATCCTTAGTACAGTCTTTTTGAATCATTCTAATAGTATATTGTGGTACCTCATTGTGATTTTAATTTGCACACACCTAATGTTAATAATGTTGAGCATCTTTTCGTGCATTTATTTGCCATCTGTATGTCTGCTTTGGTGAAGTATCTGTTTTGAATCCCTTGGTAACTTTTTTTTAATTGACTGGTTTTCTTAGTGAGTTTTGAGATTTCTTTTACTTACTCAAGATACAAGTCCTTTAGGAGATACGTGATGCATACATATATTTTCCCAGTCCATGCTTTTTCATTCTCTTAAAAGTATCTTTTGAAAAACAGAGATTCTTCATTTTTATTAAGTCCAGTGTATCAACTTTTTCCATTATGGATTGTATTATTTGCAGTTATATCTTAAAAAAAAAAAATCTTTACCTAATCCAGTGTCACGGAGATCTTCCCCTGTGTTTTCTTCTAAAATTTCTATAGTTTAGACTTTACATTTTGGTCTGTGATTCATTTTGAGTTCATTTTTGTAGATGGTACAGATACAGATCGAAGCTCATATCCAGTTGTTCCAGCACTATTTAGGCAATCCTCTGAATTGCCTTTGCAGCTTTGTCAAAAATCAATTGACCATATATGTGTGGGTCTACTTATGGACCCTTTCAGTTCCATTGGTCTTTTTTTTGCCAGTATCATACTCTCCTGGTTACTGCAGCTTTTTATTAACTCTTGATGTCAGGTAGTGTAAGTCCTTCAACTTCGCTCCTTTTCAAAAATTTTTGGGTCCTTTGAATTTTCATGTGAATTTTAGAATCTGTTTGCCAATTTCAACAACCAAAAAAAAAGTAAAAGGGCTGAGATTTTCACTTGGGATTGTGATGAATCTAGATCAGTTTGGAGAAAATTGACTTCTTAACAACACAGAGTCTTCTGGTCCATGAACACAGTATATCTCTCCATTTGTTTAGGTCTTTAAAAATTTCTCCAACAGTGTTTTTTATACCTTTCAGGGTAAATAAAGGTCTGACACATCTTTTGTCATATTTATCCCTAAGTGTTTTGTAATTTTAATGCCATCATAAATAGTATTTTTTTAAGTTTCGGGAGGTATTTAAAATTTCTAATTTCTAAACTGTTCATTACAAGTATATCAAAATACACTTTTACTTCTTTTATGATCTGTGTGCCTTTCATTTCTCTTTCTTGTTTTGTACTAAGACCTTCAGTACAGTGTCAAAAGAATTGGGAAGTGTAGATGTCCTTATCTTGGGGAAAAGACAGTTGGTCTTTTACCATTGTGTGTGTGTGTGTGTGTGTGTGTGTGTGTACATATATTTATATTTTGTATATGTATCTTGTATATATGTATATATTTTGTATACATGTATATACATGCATGTATATATTTGTGGATACCCATTGATTAGGAGGTTTCTTTGTGTTCCTAGATTGCTGAGAGTTTTTATTGGGAATGGATTTTGTATAACTCCTTTTATGTGCATCGAAATGTTAAACCTAATTTTGTATCACTATAGATCCCATGAACATTAAAAGGATAATAATCAGGGACTACTGTGAACAACTCTGTGCCCCCAAATTTGATAACCTAGATGAAATGGACCAATTCCTCGAAAGGTATAATCTTCCACCACTCACATAGGAAGAAATAGACAATCTGAATGGGACTGAATCAGTATTAAAGAAATTTAATCGATAATTAATAACAGAATAATAATTACAAAACAGAAAGCACAGGCCCAGATGGGTTAACTGGTGAATTCTACCAAATTTTTAAGAATGAATTAATACCAATTCTTCACAATCTTTTACAAAAGATAGAAGCAGAGTGAATACTTTGTAACTCCTTCTGTGAGGGCAGCATGACCCTCATACCAAAAACAAACAAAGGTATTACAAGAAAAGTACAGATGAGCCTGTCTCATGAACACAGATGCTCATCTATGAGCTCATTTACTTCTTGTGAAGAATGTAAAATGGTGCAGCCTCTATGGAAGGCAGTATGGGGTTTCTCAAAATATTGAAGATAGCATTACCATATGATCCAGCACTTCCACTTCTGTGTATACATCCAAAAGTATTGAAAGCAGAATCTCACGCATATGCAGTTCATATCAATATTATTCACAGTAGCCAAGAGGTGGAAGCAACCCAGGTATTCATCAGCAGATGAATGAATAAACCAATGTGGTGTATATATATGTACAGTAGAATATTATTCAGCCTTAGGATATATTGTCACATGCTACAACATGAATAAGATGTGAGGACGTTATTTCAATTGAAACAAGCCAGTCACAAAAAGACAAAATACTATATTATTGCACTTACATGAAGTATCTACAGGTGATCAAACCCAGAAAGTAGAATGGTGGTTGCCAGGGGTTGGGGGGAGGGGGAAGAGATAGGGAGTTGTTGTTCAGTGGGTATAGAGTTTCAGTATTGCAAGATGAAAAAGTTCTGGATGTTGATTGTACAACATTGTGAATGTACTTAACAACACTGAACTATACACTTAACGATAAATAGGTAAGATGGTAAATTTTAATTTACCATAATTCAAAATAAAATATTTTTTTTTAATTTTTTTTTTTTAACGTCTATTTACTTTTGAGACAGAGAGAGACAGAGCATGAATTGGGGAGGGTCAGAGAGAGAGAGAGGGAGACACAGGATCCGAAACAGGCTCCAGGCTCTGAGCTGTCAGCACAGAACCCGACACGGGGCTCGAACCCACGAACCATGAGATCATGACCTGAGCCGAAGTCGGACGCTTAACCGACTGAGCCACCCAGGCGCCCCCAAAATAAAATATATTTTAAAAATGCTAATGTAACGGCACACACAATTGTATGACTAATATGAGTTTATTAGGCAGGAGTTTTTGGTAATGTCTTAAACTGTTTGCTTAAGAGCTAAGTGTAGTCTTGTCACTGTCCTTACATTTAGTGATTTCACAATAAAGAAAATTTCTGTAATTATTTAAAAATTAGTAGTATAAGCCAATAAAATGAAGTAACTCTTTTAAAAAACCTCATCAAAGTATTAGCAAATTGAATTCAACAGTGTATTAAAAATGTACACTATGACCTAGTGGTATTTATTCCAGGTATACAAAACTGGTTTAATACTTTTTTAAAAATCAACTATTTAATCCATCACATCAAAAAGCTAAAGAAGAAAAATCACATGGTTATGTCAGTAGATGCAGAAAAGATATTTAGCAGAATCCAGTATCCATTCATGATAAAAACTCTCAACAAACTAGGAATAGAGGGGAACTTCCTCAACTTCATAAAGAAAAATGCAAATTAAAACTCTTATAAAAAACCACTATTCACCTACCAGAATGGCTAAAATTAAAAAGATTGACAGTATCAGTTTGCTGGAAGATGTGGAGCAGCCGGAACTCTGACACACTGCTGGCGGCAGTATAAACTGGCACAACTTTCATAAAACTATTTCCCTGTACCCGCTAAAGCCAAACCTACCTCCTCTGTGGCCCAGCAGCTCTGTCTACCCAGGTGAAATGAGAGCATGTATCCATCAAAAAAACATGGACATAAATGTTCATAGCAGCTTTATTAAATAGCCAAAACTAGGTCAGGCCATATGTCCACCACAGGAGAAAAGATAAATTGTAGTGTGTTCAAATAATGAAATGCCAACCAGTAATTTAGAAAACGAACATTCCATGCAGTAACAAAGAGGAATCTTGCACTGTTGAGTAAAAAGATATATGCATTTATATATATATATAATTCACAAACAAAAAAACGAATTGATAATGAAAGCATTGGGGTGAAGGTAGTATTGAATAAGGGCCATGAGAGCACTTAAATTTTCATGAGTTTTGCAAGCCAGTTGACCTCACATGGGTAGCTTGAAATTAGCCACTGTAGGAATTTTTACATCATGAAAATACGCGAATGCTTTTACAAATTGGGGAGAATTTGTTGATAAACCATTTCCCAGCGTGCCTCATGTTACTGCTCATCAATCCTTGGCCTCTGACCATAGAAGGATCCAGCAGATACAGAAAGGATAAGGCCAGGTAGGTACTGAGGAATGTTCTCGTTCAGCCTAAACCAAGGAGAGGTAGCAGTGAGAAACCAGCATACTCTTTGACATGGCTCAGCTGTAGTGAATGTAACTTTGTACAAAATCAGCTGACCAATATTTGATTTTTCCGTTGTGCCTTTAATCCAAATTACTTTTTCTCTGTGTTCTTGAAACAGCTAAATATTAGAGAAAAATATCATCATACCATAGTCTTTCCATAGACTCCTTTTGACATGTTGCTGAATTTGTGTCCTTTTGATTTTGAGTAGTTCAAAAGTTTTTGTTTCTGCTGCTTTAGGAGCATTCTGGAAGAGTTTTCCGACTCCAGTTTGATGAATTCCAGATTGTCAGTAGTTCACATGATGACACAATCCTCATCTGGGACTTCCTAAATGATCCAGCTGCCCAAGCTGAACCCCCCCGTTCCCCTTCTCGAACATACACCTATATCTCCAGATAAATAATCATACAGTGACCTCATACTTGCCCAGGTATGAAAAAGAATTGTGTACATAGCACGGTGGGTAGGAATATTGGCTGTAAGGTGTTGCTAGTTCATAGAGTCTTCTCGCACCCTTTATCTCTACAATTCCTGTTAAGCAGGTAAAGCCAATAACATGAGACAGGGCTGGGGCTGCATATTGGACGCTGCCTTTCATCAAGGTAGCTAACCTCTCAGTTCTAGGTGATTGTTGAACTAGATCTGGATGGTCCTTATGTAGTAGAATGAATAATTCCCACCCCAGTTATCTGATAGGATTGTTAAGACAATAAAATGAGATTTGAATCCATTTCAAAACTAAGAGTAATGACCCATAAGCCTATGACTTTGTAGTTCCCATTTCAAACCAGTTCCTGTAACAGAGATCCTTTAAACCAAGTAAATAATGTGTGAGTGGAAAATTTTCTTGGTGACATCTTTTGGCTGACTTCTCACAGCTCTGCTTGGTCAGTATCATTGGATTATAAAAAGTGGCTTTTTTTATAGTCATCCCCCCTCTTCATGCCCTCCGAAAAAGAAAAGAACTGTCTTTTGACCTTGCAAGTAGCTCTGCAGTTGGTGAGAACTCTGGGTACTCTCCCACTCGAGTCTGCAACCTTCCTGTGCAGCAGGAGAACATCCTATGTTATGGTATATTCAGATCGCACCCAGTGTCAGGCAGTTCAGATCCATTCATCAGGCTATCATTGGGCTAGGAAAGCTGCACTCCTGGGCAGTGTTGCTGTCGTTATGGTTTCTTATTCCCTATGCCTACCTCACTTCTATGGCAGAAGTAGAGATTTAGTACACTTTACTACACATCTTTTCATAGTGGTTCTTCTAAGTGGGGTGGTCCGTGCCCCTGCTGGGCTCACTTCATCGCTCGCTGCTCTCACAGAGGACATGCTGCTTCCTATCCCTCAGCCAAATCACACAGGCAGGCCTAGGTGAGAATCCCTGGGCAAGCAACTTCCAGAGCCTTAGACCCCTTACTGGTAAGATGGGTTGCAATCCCTATCTCACAGAGCTGTTGTGAGGATTGCCTTGAAATGTCATATGTAAAATGCTTAGAGCTTAGCACAGTGCCAAGCATAGAACAAGCCCTCAGTAAGAAGTGGTCATTGTTAGTAATACTATAATTGTCATGTACCCATCCCCTCCTTTTGCCAAAATTTTCTCTTCATTGGATTGCTGTGGCATTTTGCCACTTAAAATATTCTTCCTGGTTCTCTGATTATGTCTCCTGTCTCCCCTCACCCCTAAAACACAGACATCACCAAAGAGTGTGTCTCGGGCTTTTCTTACTTTTTGAAGCTTCCTGTTTTGGTTGCCTTTTCTCAGCTCTCATCTCAATGTAGATGACTCTCAAACTTATATCTCTAGTCCCAACCTGTCTTAATCTCCATGCCACATTACCAGCTACCACCTACGCATCTAGCCTTGAAGGTACCAGAAGCCCATCCAATGCACATTTCTAACAATCAGACTTTCATCTGTTCTGCTGGGGCCCTCCAGCCAAGTGGCCAGACAGCTTCACCCAGCTGCCCCACTCATGCTGGTGGCACAGCTGTGCTTCTGGCCACTCGGGGCCAGAACCTCAGAGCCAGCCTCATCTACTGCACCATTACAGGGAGCGGGTGAGAGCTTGATGATATACCCACCAGAGTCACTCTTAATCTCAAGGCATCAGAGTTACCCTGCACGAGCGCTGGGGCCCTGGGCATGTCAGTGAGCCCCACCATGTCACTAGGCAGGCTACGTAGCCTTTGACAGAAGCTCCTGCTTGGCATGGGCAGAGAGCAGGTGTTAGGAAGGACCTCTGAGCCTTTCTCCCAATTGACAGCTGAGTTAATATTCTTCTCTCTCGGAGCAAGTGAGAAACGTAGGGAAAGGGACTAATGACTCTGTGCTCTGTTTTCACACAGGACTCATTAAAGTTGCGGTATTTAACATATCTGCCAATACCAGGATGAGCAACAACAGTAACAATCAAACTACTACCCACTTCCCCGGACTAGCCGAGGAACGGGGATTTGAGACTCCTGTTGGGACACAGTTGGTCTGCAGTCGACCCAGGATGGTCTACTCAGCACAGCTGACTGCTTCCGTGCTGCTATCAGAAGATGTCTTTTATCTTTTGTGAATGATTGGAACTTTTAAACCTCACCTCACCTCCCTCCTCCTTTCCTCTCTGCACCTGTTTTTCTTCATTTGGTTCCAGACAAAGATGACTTATAAATATATTTAGTGTTTTGCCAGAATCTCTCTTGCCTTGCCGTTAAGCAGAAGAACTAGTTTCCCTATATAGCCTTCTGGGAGACCAACTTCTAGGGGACAGGGGATACAACTTCAAGCCAGACAGCACCCAGTTTCTCCCTGTGAACTGCAGGAATGCCCAGCACCTGGCAGGATCAGCCCAGCCCCACTGTGCTTAAGAGGAGACAGCTGTCTTACGGCCTTTGGGGCAAGAAAGAAAGAGAGAAAACGAGAATCCACACTGGAAGATCTGGGCCTCTTTCCTTTCATCTCTTTCTCTGTTTCTGTCCCCCCTCGTCCCCTCCTCCCCCGCCCCCCTTCAGCCTTTTTCTGCGCCACCTGAGAAGAAAGAGTATGAAGAGAGTAATCTCAGTTAACATGAGGCAAATCAGCGAGAAAATGCCACACCTGGAAGAGCTAAATGCTGTTCGGTCAAAATTTCAAACCCAAGCTTTTGCTGCAGATGACCCCATGTGGCAGCAGTGGGTTCTTAGAAGGTACCCCCATCGTATTTGCAACTTTTCTCTCTTCTTCTAACACCATCCCCCTCCAAAAACGGTGTGGGGTGGGGGGGCAGAAATTGCCTGGGCTCCATCAATGGCTGCCTCTTTTCTGGACTCAGCAGTCTCCTCGATTCCATGTAGAGTGTGGAAAGGAGTTGCTGATTGCATTTCCTCTCATTAACAATTAGATGTGTAATAAAAAGCATTGTACTTCATCTTAAATCACTGGTAAGGCTCAGCCTAAAGAAAGGTTTGAAATGGCCGGAGCCAGTTGCTGGGTGCATTCTGCATAATGGCTCACATCTCTGATTTGCTCATCAGAGTCTGTGAGCACCCAGCCCCTATATCTTTGCCAAGATCACAATCAAAGCAGCTGAAGAAGTGGTCAGGGTTAAAAGTGGATTTCTTTCTCATTTAGAACAGTAAATATCATCTCTCAAAAAGCAAGCTAATCATCTCAACCTTGCACTGTAGAACCTTCTTCACGCATTTCCCAAATCCCATATTTACAAAAGGGCAGAGTTGCCAAAAAGAGGATCAGGGTGAAGTTTGGCACACAGGGTTTACTAACGGGGCAGACACTGCCTTCTCTTTCCTTTTCTTCCTCCTCCGGCCTTATTTAACTCTCCACTCTCCCCAACCAATAAAATTTCTCTGGATGTTGGTAAGCAACATAAACAAATGGACCTCAGCAAGAGCCAGGCCAACCTGGCCACTTGAAAGGCAGCTGTATGGGCATCAGGTGCAGGGCACATGTGCCACCCCAACCTGGGAACACAGGGTATACTATCAGCATGTGCCCAGCGTGTTTCCCAGGGCAGGCATGGAGCTGCCCCAGCCATCTTGTGTGGCATGGGCGCACGCATCACAGGCCCAGTGCCACACCGCCGTCTCTAGTTTCCCTTGGAAGCTGAGCAGTCAGGCCTGTCGTTTCTGTTCCTAATCAAAGCAGTTGAGTAAAAGCCCCTTTTAAACCAGCTGCTGTAGAAACATCAGAACAGGAGGCAGTTGCAGGTGACCTCAAAGCCAGACCACTTTTAGTTTAGCAAAGGGAAGAGGAAGAGAAAGCCATGTTCACTCTTCCCTCCTGATTTGACTGAATGTTGTTATTACATATTGGGAGGCAAGTTATGTATATGCATTTTTCCTTTCTGACTTCATGAGTGCTTTTAAGCTTTTGGTTCCAGGTTATATTCAGAAACTACTTCCCAGTGTAATATGTCCTTGCCTGGGAAATACTTTCTGAGTATAATTCCCTTCCCAGCTACCCAAATGCTACAGAGAAATGTCTTCTATTTAGCCATCATCAGAGTTCCTTGTCTGTTGTGTTGACTTTTTGGCTTTTTGCTTGGTTAAGGATTTTGCTACAGGTGAGGCAGAGGGCCATCAGCCCCGAATAACACACAGGTCAGGCATTAAAGAGGCATGGATTTCAAGCTGTTTGAAAATATTGTCCAATAGCCATAACTTTACTAGCCCTTCTATTATATGCTGCTGTTTAAACGTGGGAGCTGTTGAATATTCATTGGTGCCCGGGGTTTTGCTCTCCCATCTAGGTTCACTTTAAGGTAGATTGTTTCTTAGATTGTTTTGAGGCTTGTCCAGTACATCATAAATGAGATCGAGAGTGGACCCTGCAGTCTGGAGCCATTAGCTCCATCGAGGATATTCTCCAAGTTGTCCTCTGCTGCTGATGGAAATGGGAATGAAGTGAAGTGGTCTGAAAAACTGAGTCAGTCACATTTCTCAGCTCTGGGGGTCATTTACCAGTTCGTTGTAGAAGAAATAATCAGGTAAGTAGAAGTTCATTTCCAGAGAAGGTAAACCCCACTTACCATCTCTGCATGATTTCAGTGGGAATTGATTATCACTAATCCCCAACTGGGCTAGAATAAATGTAAAGTTTGACCTTTTTAAAAAGAAAAGAGAAACAAAGAAAGTCTCAACACATTGAAAGGAATGGTAGAAAAGGAGCTAAAGGAGTCTCTTGACTCAGAAACGCCATGTCTCCATTGTAGCTTAGTCTCTTCTCACTAAAATTCCAGCATGGGCCTGAAAGAACTGTTTCATAAAGATGGGAGGAAGCCCCTTCAAAGGCGGGCACACAAGGAGCGAGTGCATGCACCTGCACCCAGGAGCTCTCTGGGCACGTGGGAGCTCTCCAGTCACACTGGGGCTGCTTGGACAAAACCAGCATGCCTTGCTGCACGTGTGTGTATT